AAAGCATAAGAAAAAGTCTTTGTGACCTTGGGTTAGGCAAATAATTCTTAGCTATGATATCGTTAAGCACAATCCTTAAAAGAAAAATATTGATAAATTGGGTTTAATAAAAAATTTAAAGCTTATCCTTTAAAGACACCACTAAGCAAGTGCAAAGATGAATTATAGACTCTGAGAAAATATTTGAAAATCACATCTATGATAAATAACTGGTATCCATAACATATAAAGAACTCTACAATTGAATATTAAGATACCAGTCCTCCTCAAAATGGGCAAAATATTTGAGTAGCCAGCTCACTAAGAAGATACATGAATAGCTAATAAGCACATGCAGAAATGCTCGTCATTGCTCATTAGGGAAATGCAAATTAAAACCACAGTGCGACGCTACTTCACACCCACTAAAATGGCTAAAAGAAAAAACTCAGAAAATTTCTAAGTGTGTTCAAGGAGAAACAGGAATTCTGTTTGGCTGATGGGAATCTGAAAGGTATAGCCACAATAGAAGGTGGTTTGGCAGTGTTTTAAAAAGTCATACTAAAACATATTTACCATATGATCTAGCTAATTCACTTACATGTATCTACCTAACCGAAGTATGCATATTGTTTAAACACTGCAATTAAAAGAGATCATCAGGTAGGGTGAAAAAGCAAGATCCAGCTATACAGTCAGCTGTCCATATCTGTGGGTTACAGTCAGCTGTCCATATCTGCAGGGTTTTTTTTGTTTGTTTGTTTTTGTTTTTTTGAGATGGAGTCTTGCTCTGTTACCCAGGCTGCAGTGCAGTGGCACGATCTCGGCTCACTGAAACCTCTGCCTCCCAGGATCAAATGATTCTCCTGCCTCAGCCTCCTGAGTAGCTGGGATTACAGGTGACCGCCACCACGACTAATTTTTGCATTTGTAGTAGAGACAGGGTTTCCCCATGTTGTCCAGGCTGATCTTGAACGTCTGACCTCAGGTGACCCACCTGCCTCGGCCTCCCAAAGTGCTGGGATTACAGGTGTGAGCCCCGGTACCTGGCCATATCTGTGGGTTGCATCTGGGTATTCAACCAACTGCAGATCAAAATATTTGGAAAGAAAGAAACAATGAGAAATAACAATACAACAACAAAAATACAAATAAAAACCAATACAGTATAGCAACTATTTACATAGCATTTACATTACATTAGGTCTTATAAGTAACCTAGAGATGATTTAAACTATTCAGGAGGATGTGCGTAAGTGCTCTGTAGATAACCACACACCATTTTATATAAGGGACTTGAGCATCCTAGGATTTTGGGATCCGGGGTGGGTCCTGGAACTCATGGCTTACATACCAAGGGATACAATCTGTTGTGAACTAGAAACTTATTTTAAACGTGAAGATGTAAATCCTTAAAGGTAAAAAGATAGACAGATAATACTGTATAAGCACTAACCAAAAGAAAGCTGGAATGACTTGATTAGTATCTGATGAAATAGACTTAACAAAGATTATAAACAGTCATTAAAAAGGTACATTTCATAATGACCATGTGGTCGTTTCATCACGGTAGCACAACATTGTTGTTAAATTTTCATGTAATTAACAACAGAGCAATAAAATATATAACAAAAACAGAATTGAAAAGAGAAATAGATTTACAATTATAGTTGACGGTTTCAACACTCCTCTCTCAGTAATTTATAGAAAAAATAGACAGAAAATCAGTAAGGATACAGAAAAATCTAAGCAACACTATCAACCAGCTTGACCCAGTTGACATTTATGAATCAGTCTATCCAACAGCAGCATGCACATGCCCTTTAAGTATACATGAACTTCTCAAAACAGTAGATCATATTCTAGGCAATAAAACACGTATCAACAAATCGTAAAAGAACTGAGTTATTCAAAGTATGTTTTCTGACCATCAGAGAATTAAAATAAAATTTAATAACAGAAAGATAACTAGAAATCTCCAAGTATTTGGAAATGAAGCAACACATTTCTAAATTACGACTAGATCAAGGAAGAAATCTCAAAGGAAATTAGAAGATAATCAGAATAGAATGAAAATGAAAATAGAATGTATCAATATCTGTGAGATGCAGTTAAATCGATGCCTAGAGGGAATTTTATAATTTTAAATGGTTACATTAGAAATAATTTAAATCCATTGATCCAATTTCTTAAGTTAGAAAAGAAGCAATGAAGACAATATAATGTGTGTGTAAGGATAGACATACAGATCAATGCAACAGGATGGCCCAGAGATAGACCTGCACATACTTAGTGTTGAACCAACAAAGGTGCCAAGATAATTTAATGGAGAAAAAGAAAGAAGGAAGTCTTTTCAACAAGTAATACCCGAATAATGAAATATTATATGGAAAAAAAAGAACCTTGATTTCTACCTTGTACTCTATACAAAAATTAATCTGAAACGGATATTAGACCATATTTGTGTTTACACAAAATCTAAAAACTTTAAAACTTATAAAGGAAAATATAGCTTACAGTCTTCATGACTTTGAGGTATGAAAGACTTCTTAGCACAGACTGTCCATCATAGAAATGTCAATAAATTGGAACTCATCAACTAAGCACCTCTACTCTGAGAAGGACTCCTTGAAGAAAATGAAGAGCTGAGGTGCTGCTAACTGGGAGAAAATCTTAGCATCACATAAATCTGACATAGGACTTATTTCTGGACTAAGTAAAGAAGTTGTACAACTGAATAATAAGACAACTCAATTAAAAGATAGACAAAAGATTTGTCTACACACCTCTAAAAGGAAGAGAGGAGAATTCCAATAATCATGTACAAACATGCTCAACATCATTATTCATTAGGGAAATGCAAATTAAAATACAAAGTACAATAAGATACGAAATGGGTAAAATTTAAAAAGACTTACAACTCAAGTGTTGACAAGGATGTGGAACAACCGGAACTATCATACATTGTTGGTGGGATTGTAAAATGGTACAATCAGTTTGTAATATAGTTAATCAGTTTTTCATAATGTTAAATATGATTTTCCATATGACCAACAATTTCACTTCCTGGTGTTCACCTGTGAAAAATGAAAACGCATGCCCATAAAAAGACTTATACATAGATATTTAAAGCACCTTTATTTATAGAAACAACGCAAATGTCTGTCAACAGATGGCTGGGTAAACAAATTGTGGAATATTCATACAATGGCATGCTGTTTGGCATTAGAAAGGAATGAAATACTTATGCACATAGCAATTTGGATGAAGCTGTCTTATGTCAAACAAAAGAAGCCAGACACAACAGACAACATAGTGTGTAATTTTATTTTATATAAAATTCTAGAATTGGAGCATGTAATCTATGTAAATAGAAAGCAGGTCAATAGTTGCCTGGATTCTAGAATATGGGGAGATTGATTGTAAAGAGTGCTTTTGGGGGCAATGGAAATATCCTGTATCTTAAGATAGTAATTACATCGGTGTATATGTTTGTCAAAAGCACATTTAACAGTATATTTTTTTTTTGGTTTTTGAAGACAGAGTCTCGTTCTGTCCCCCAAGCTGAAGTGCAGTGGCACGATCTCAGCTCACTGCAACATCTGCCTCCCGGGTTCAAGTGATTCTCCTGCCTTAGCCTCTGTAGTAGCTGGGACTACAGATATGCACCACGATACCCAGCTAATTTTTGTATTTTTAGTAGAGACGGGGTTTTACCATGTTGTCCAGACTGGTCTCGAACTCCTGACCTCAGGTGATTCGCTTGCCTCGGCCTCCCAAAGTGCTGGGATTACAGGCGTGAGGCACCTCGTCTGGCTAACAATATACTTTAAGTGTGGATTTAATTATATATAAATTATGCCTCAATTTGTTTTAAAAGGTAAAAAAGAAAAGTAATGCTAATTTGTTGTTCACTCCCACCATCAGTGGATAATAGAGATTCAATTTTCTACTTTTTCCATTTGGAGAATCACTTTTGGGGTTCACTTACTGAATAATCCATCCTTTCCCCATTTTTCTAACTTGCTACTTCTATTATATGTCAAAGTTGAATGTATGTGTGGCTCAGTTTCTGCACTCTTCCATTTCCTTGATCAGTTTGTTGATCCTGTCTTTATTATTTTAACTTCATAGTAAGCTCCAGTGTCTTTATTCTCTTTCTTCAGAAGTGTTTTAGCTATTATTGATCCTGTATTTCTTGTATAAATTTTAGAAAGAGCTTATTTATTTCTGTGTTCTATTGAAAAACCCTATTGGAAGGTTGATGGGGGTTATATCGATTTCACAGATAAATGTGGGTAAACTTTGAACTTTTACAGTATTAAATTTCTCTGTTGATCACTGTGGTATATCTTCCTATTTATTTAGATCCCCTTTAATGTCTCCCAGTACAATTTGTAATTAATTTTTCCCATAAAGTTCTTGCACATATTTTGAAAGAATAATTTCAAAGTATTTGATGTTTTTTATTTTATTGCAAGCTAAATCTTTTAATTATGTTTTGTGCTTTATTGTTGGTGTATAGAAGTATGACTTTTAAAAATGTTAATGTATATCTAGGGAACTTTTGCTCTTGTTTTAGAAAGAAGCCCATTTATTGATGAGCAGAATTTGTGGTGGGGGGGGCACATGCATGTGTGTGTGCGTGTAGGGTGTGTGGTGTGTGCGTGTAGGGTGTGTGGTGTGTGCGTGTGTGCGTGTAGGGTGTGTGGTGTGTGCGTGTAGGGTGTGTGCTGTGTGCGTGTAGGGTGTGTGCATGTGTGTGCTGCGTGCAGACACATTTGTGAATATTTTGGAGAGCAGATATATTGAGGGTGGGTTTTCAAAGCCCTGAAGTTATTTTCTGCAGCTGAGTCTCTACGTGTTAATGTTGGCCCTGTGTCGCAGGAGGGGATGGTGGCTACGTCTGTAAAGTTTCCAGCTTTTAGGCTAGTCTGCATTCCATGCAGTCGTGGTAAGAAGGGTCTCTTGTAAAGCTGATATCTTTGAGTCAAGACACCCGTATCTCTCTCATCCTGGGGATGGTTACTCACAATGTAGGCTGTATTGTTAAAAATGTGTCACTCTTCCCTTCCAGTATCCGGAGTGTGATGCAGAAGTACCTTGCAGAGAGAAATGAAATAACCTTTGACAAGATTTTCAATCAGAAAATTGGTAAGTCCTGCTTGTTCATTTGGCATACGGTAATTTCAGTGATGAAATTGGGCGATACTATAGTAATAAATGAATGCACCCTCCAGTGCTTTATATGCTCTATAGCTGCAGCTGGGAATAAAGGAAATTTCATGTAATTAATAAGGTATTTAACAATGACTTCTATTCCCAGTAGCATAGTCTATTAATAAGCTCTTAGGAGATGGGTATTTCTAGGATTTTTACATGAAAACAGCATTGCTGAATGTAAGAAAATAGGATATTCCTTTCTTTTCTTTGCGTCTTGCCTGCCTCATATGGTTACTGAGGTGGTTTGCTGGGGAGCTGTGGGTAATAGCTGTAAAATTATTTTATGACTGGAGGAAATTACTTTATGAAAATTCCGAGAAATTAAACTTCCCTAGAACTCAATTTGTGCTCTGTTTCCATGATTAACAGACATAGACTGATAGATCCCTTTAAGACTGTGTATCCTTCGAGATAATTCTGGGCTTGCCCTTTTGTTTGCTGATGAGGAGATGTAGACACAGGGAGGTGGCGTGACTTGTTCTAATTCCCAGTTCTCCTTCTTCTTTATTCCGATAATAAAATAGTAACCAGTAAATAATAAAATAATTACGAGTAGAAGCTGGTGCAGAAATCTTTGGATTTTGGTAAACCACTTTATCTGGTTTACAAAAATTAACCTGTCTGTGAAGGTGGTCTTTGGTAGATACAGCTTCTTTGATCACCCATGAAGTACAATGGGGAAGGTGGACGGAGTGGTTTGGAGAAGTAGATGACGTGTGGTCTGTCTGAGCCTGAGCACTGTGTGTGGAAAGCGATTGGTCTTTGCCATACAGAGATACTTCATCCTGCTCCTCAGGAGCTGGTTGGGGAACAGATAAGTTAAAAGAGTTTGGCTTTCATTTTGTTAGTTCTCACGGCTTCTCATTATTTTCATGGTGTGTGGTTACTATAAGCTACACAGATGTTCTCCTTTGCTTCTGATTTTGTACTAAAAAACAAAATAAAGCTGGTGATAACAAGAGAGAAACTCTGTATCTCCGGGAGCGGAGGGAAAAAGGAATTACCTCTTTATTTGCTAGTTAAAAAATTTTTAATTTCTTTTTGTGGATTTATTGAGGTATATTTCACATAGCATACAGTCCCCACATTGAAAGTAAACAGTTGAGTGACTTTTTGTGTATTCACCGTCATACAACCATCTGCACTGCCTAATTTTAGAATGTTTTTATCACCCCCAAAAGAACTTGTACCCATTAGCAGTCCTTCTGCCTTCTACCCTCCCTCAGCTCCTGGCAACCACGAATTGAGTTTCTGCCTCCATGGATTTGCTTGTGTTGGCCGCGCCATATGAAGGGAATCACACACTGTGTGGCCTTTCGCACTGGGTTTCTTCAGCATAATGCCTTCAAGGTTCGTTCTGGTGGTAGCACGGATCAGAACTTCAGTCTGCTTTCCCTTCAGCTCTCATTCCAGTTTCTGAAATGCATCGAGGATTCTTCTTTTTGTTTTCTGTTCTTCTCTCTCCCTCCTGTGGCTCCTTTCCTGTCTACAATCCCCCTAAACATACATACAGCCCCCAAAACATGTATTTCCCGTTGCTTGGATTAAAACCTTACCAGACCCTGGCACCGGGAGGCTCTGACCTGAGCACCCATTGGCGTTAGTGTGGCCCAGTATCTCAGCTGCACAGAGCGTTCCCTGAGAGCAGCCTCACCGGGCGCTGATGGGCTCTGAATCTTATCTGAAGTTGTTAAACATTGTTTAAATAAATACTTTCTTCTCTTGCCTTCAATTCGTCAGCTTGGATGTGGTCAGGAGAAGCCAAGTTTGATGGAGGCTTAGGGAGAGCGCACACCGCCATCTGTAATTACGTTTTGACAGAGCTGTGTGGTGGTGTTGGCCTGCTCCCCATTTTTCTCTGTAGTAGTCTCAGGGATTGAGACTGGTCTCAATTTCTCTGCCTGGTCTCAGGGATGGGGGAGAGTGGAAGGTGGGCCATGGTGGGAGTAAATGTGTCTGACACTCCAGGTCTTCCTTTTCCAGGTTCCATTCGCGCCTTCCAGCACTGACTCCATGCGTTCCTGCCTTACTCTTTCCCCTCACCATCTTTCCGTCCCTCTCCCCTCACTGTTTTTTGGTCCTCTTGTTCTGTTTCACCCTCTTACCTGCCTACCCATCTGCTCCTTTTCCCTCTTTGCTTACCTCCCAAGCTCCCTGACACATAGGATCTCCATAGGGCTTGGGGACTGCCCTCCAATGTGTGCTGTGGGCAGTTGGTAAAAATGGTTTTCAAAATGAAAACCATAGAAGTCTTTAATTTACTTGGCCTCTGAGGCATTGCCGAACTGGCAGATTGTTTGGCTACACCCTGAAGTGCCTGTTATTTCATTACTTTTTATCTATAAAAGTAGGGATAATAATAGTTCTGGTCCATGAGGCTGTTGAGAGGGTTTAGCTGGCGGTGTCCATGAAGCCCTTAACACGACAATTGGCTATCAGCAGATGCTCAGTGAATAGAAGCTAATTGTTTATGTTAAAAATTTTCAACATACAGAAAGTAGACTAGAATAATTAACCCCATATGTATGTATATGTATGTGTGTGTATGTGTGTGTATATATATATTTACATCACCTAGATTTGATGTATTTCACCATCTTGCTATACTTTGTTTTCCCATCCCGTCTTTTTTTTGCGGTTACTGAATTAACAAAGCAGTCACAGCATTTTGTCCCATATGCAGCCCTAAAAAATATGCATGCTTTCTTATACAGCCGCAATACCTTTATCCCAAACATGAAATTTATCATGATTCTTGGTGTACCCTAATACTGAGTTTATTGTCAGATTTCTCTGATTGACTTAAAAATGTTTGTTTGTTTTTAACTCTTGGTTTGAATCAGGATTCAAATACTGTTCTTGTATTGTAATTGGTGATAATATTTCTTGTAATCTAGACAGTTCCCCAAACATTGCCCCTGCCAGCACATGCACAGGTAATTAACTTACCAAAGAAACTGGGTCCTATGTGTTGTAGAATGTTCCATGTTCTGGGCTTTTCTGTCTGCTTCTTAATGGTGTCATTTAAAAATTATTTATGTATTTATTTTTTGGGGACAGAGTCTTGCTCTGTCACTCAGGCTGGAGTGCAGTGGCACAATCTCTGCTCACTCCAACTGCCACCTCCCAGGTTCAAGCAGTTCTTGTGCCTCAGCCTCCTGAGTGGCTGGGATTACAGGCGTGCACCACCACACCCAGCTAATTTTTTTTTTTTTTTCTCCCCAGTAGAGACAGGGTTTCGCTATTTTGGCCAGGCTGGTGTCGAACTCCTGGCCTCAAGTGATCTGCCCGCCTCGGCCTCCCAAAGTGCTGGGATTATAAGCGTGAGCCACCATGCCTGGCCTTTAATGGTATCATTTAAATTATACTTGTGTTTCCTACATGTCCTATAAACTGAGAGTTCGCTCTAACAGCTTAATGAGGTTTAGCCTCAGCTGCTTTTTGGCAGGAGCGCTTTATAGGTGGTGTTGTGTACGTCGTAGCAGGAGGCACATGCCACTTAGGGTCTCTGTAGTCAGGTCTCTAAAGTGGGCTCAGATGCGGTCGGTGTCAGTTTCTCATTGACAATCATTGTCTCAATCAGTTATTTTGTTAGGGACCAACTTAACTAATGTTCATTAAGACATATAATTTCTATATAAGGATGAGGATAAAAGTAGCTGGCACTTAACCCCTTTCTTCTGAATACTGGCAATTAAAAACAAACAGTGGAGTTTATTAGGGACTTACAAAATGGTGAGTTTTCTAAATACACGATTCCTTCTGCATTGATTACTTTGATTCCTCAGTGAGAGGATATTTAGTTGCCTTTAAATATAGTTTAATTAGAAAGGCAGGTGTGTTGGTGCAACCCCATGACCCTTGCCTCGTGGTATTGCCCCCATGCATAACATGGCTGAAAGAGATTCTGCAGGTGGAATTAAGATGATTGTCCAAGTGACCTTAATCTACTCACGTGTGCCCTTTAGAAGCAGCGTTTCCTCAGACCAGCAGAAAGGAGGAAGTCAGAAAGATACGAAGCTCAGGAAAGATTCCACACACTGTTGCTGGCTTTGCAGGTGGAGGGCGTGTGGGTGCTCCCTAGAAGCTGAGAGTGGCCCTGGCTGGCAGCAGCGAGGAAACAGTCACCTCCATCCCACAACCGCAAAGCACAGAATTCCATCCGTAACTGGAATGGGTTTGGAGGCAGATTCCTACTCAGAGCCTGTAAACAAGAACCCAGGCTGACCGACACCTTGAATTTGTCCTGGTGAGACCCTAAGCAGAGAGCCCAGTGGAACCCACCCACGCTTCTGACCTACAGAACTGTGAGATGATACGTGGGTGTTGTTTTTAAGTCACTAAGTTTGTGGTGATTTGTGGCATAATATGAGAAAACTAATACAGCAGGCGAAATCTCCATTAATTGTTTTTAATTGCCATTATTCAGAATAAAGGGATTACGTGACAGTTACTTTTATCCTTATCCTTATAAAGAAATTATATCTTAATAAATGTTAGTTAAGTTGATCCCTAACTTGCTGTCAGTAAAACTTACACATTTAGATATTGACGCAGTATCTTTGGTTTTAAGGGGATACTGATTATTGAATAGACAGGAAAATCATTCTATCAGTTATAGTTAAGATTCTTTTGTGACTATTTTTCTTCATTAAGATACATTGAAATTGTAACGTCATCACATGCAAGTGAGGCACATGGCATTTGATAAAGTCCATCTGTCTGTGGACAGTCTACTTAGCTTCTCTGTCTGCATGTTCACTCCTGTTAGAGGAGCATGTTTGAAATTATAAGGAGACTCCAAAATAGATACTTTTTTAAGACAGGCTTGCTCTGTTGCCCAGGCTGGAGTGCAGTGGCGCAATCTTGGCTCACTGCAACCTCCGCCTCCCAGGTTCAAGTGATGCTCTTGCCTCAGCCTCCCAAGTAGC